CTAAGGCTGACCACAGTTCCCCCTTCTTTAGGAGACCTCGTTTCCACAGTTGACACAATGGCGCCCCTGTATTGATATCCCGTTGATCATGTCTGTAGCAGGTGAGAAGGAAGGAGTTGATGCATACATAGATCCAGGTCTCCATCTTCAACTAGAAGTCTCTCCCACAAGCCATTTGACAGTGACTTTAACCTAAACACAAAAACCATAGTGAAGACATCAGCCGCACAATGGGAGTTCAGGGTGCGCTGACTGACCCACGCCAGGTGCCATGCTCATCCCTTTAGGTGCCCTTCCGCATCAAATTCCCACGGTAGCTCTCCTGACCTCTAGCAGAGCCACTGCAGGTCCAGAGAGCTTGAGCAGTGAAGCCAGAACCACGCAGCTGGCAAGTGGCAGCCTTGGAAAGCAGCCTGGCTCTCTTGAGATGCAAAGCCCTTTAAGAACTCACTGCCCCTGAGTGCATTCTGACTCTTAGTGACCCTGCGGGGCTGAATAGAACTGCCCCTGGGGACTTCCGAGACTGTAAATCTTCATGGGAGTAGAAAGCGTCGTCTTCTCTTGTGGAGTGATTGGTGGTTTCGAACTGCTGACATTGAGGTTAGGGGCCCTATGTGTAAGCCACTGCAAATCTTGAACCTCCTACAAATGGGCTGTTTTCCCTTTCTTTCCTGGACTATTTCTTGGGAGAGGGGCGTTATTTTGTGGCATGATATAGTTGTGTGCCCTGGAAACTGCTATGGCAGAGAAGTCCCTGGCTCAGGGCCAGCTCCCTGGGCCTCTGGGTCTTCCCCTCGGTGGGGTAAGGGGTCCTCCGGGAAAGCTGGAAAGCAGGGTTATTGCTGTGCTTCTTTTCTCAACGGTGGGTTGGGCCTGGCGCTGGGCTGAGGGCAGGGCGGCAGGGTAAGCACTCCCGAGGAGGACTCCACATTGTCACCTTCTGTTTGCCACGCTGATGGGGCCTGGCCTGCCAAGGCCGGAGAGCAGTCTTTTATCTGCGTCTGGGACAGTTGGACGTGTTCAGACGAGGCTGCAGACTTCCTCGTGTTCGCACTGCTCTGGGCTCTGTGAGCGTGTCTGCCCCAGGCTTCTCCTTCCTGTCCCCGCTAGGCTGAAGAGTGGGTGGAAAGGAACGGGACCTTTCATTTTCCAGGCCCGTAGCTCTCAATCAAGGAGGAGTTTTCCCCCTAACAGGATGTTGGGCAATGTCTGGAAATAATTTTGACTGTCACCAGTGGTGGGGAGGCCGGGATGTAGCGAACATCCCGTGTCCTAGCAGGACAGTCTCCACAAGAGAGAATCAGCCTGGATCAGAGTGTCACCCGCACTGATCTGGGTAAACCCTGCCTTATGCCAACTGTCAAATGGGAGGTTGTGCCAAGCTTTGCCTATGCTTGGTAAAGTGGAGAGACAGTGCAGAGAGAGAGGCCCTCAATGAGGTGGACTGACGCCGTGGCTGCGACAATGGACGTCGGGCACAGGAACCATCGTGAGGCTGGCACAGGACTGCACAGGGTTTTGTTCTGTTGTGCAGAAGGTCACTACGGGTCGGACTGGACTTGATAGCACCTGTCAACAACCACGAACCTTCGCATGAGCATCTGCGTGTGAGATAACATGTTGGGAGCTTCAACCTCAACTTTCACTGGCTCCTTACAACCCTGAGAGATGAGGATTGTGACTCCTGTTTGCAGACAAAGACATTGAGCGTACCCAGCTCACTGTCGCCACCCAGTCGGCGTTTGTTGGGCATTTCCATAGACGGGCCACGGTTCTCAGGCTGTTCTGTGTTTTAAGTCCTATCGTCGCACAACAGTTCCGAGGTGGTGGGTCCGATTATTGATTCCATATCAGACGAGGAAGCTGAGATTGGGAGTGGCCCAAGGTCGCCAAGTTTGTAAGTGGAGACCCCAGACTCTGAGCTCAGGAAGACACAGGACTTGAGCCCAAATCCATGCAGGAGAGCTGACCACCTTGAAGAAAGGTGCTGAGGGCATCCTGGGGTCAGAGTGGGCCCAGGAGCGTATTGTCAGGGTCTTGGGGACTCTGGCTTCTGGGAGGGCAATTCTTCTGTTTAAACTGTGTGCCTGTCATTGCAATGGTGCCTTCTTGTCTTGGGCCCAGATGGCCGGTCCTCGGTTCAGGTGAGCCCCGTGTCTCTGTTGCTGACTCCGCTCCCGTCTGTTGCAGGACACTGCCAAGGGGACGGCTACCGCATCGGCTTTGGCCAGTGTGCTGGGAAAGTGCTGCCTGCCTTTGCATCAGTGTGAGGCTCTCTCGGCAATCCCGGAAATGAAAGCCCGAGCTCTCCAGTATCTGGGCTCCTTTGTGGCTCCCGGCCTGTTCTCCATCCCGTAATAAACAGTGCTCTGTGTCCCTATACTAGGCCACATCCTGTTCTAAGTGCACCAATAGCCTCTGGTGTTTTTTCTGTGTGCGTGTGTAAATTGTGATGAATATATACACATACATACATATATATGTGTGTACACACACACACACACACACATACAGGCTCCAAAAAACCCTGGATTTCTTTTTCAAAGCTATGTATGGAATTTTTTTTTTTTTACAAAACAACCTTATCACCTTCAAAGTATGCGCCATTACACTTAATACATTTGTCAAATCTGTGATTCTATTCTTGGAAACAAAATTTCACAGCTGCACGCTGTGCTCTTAAATCAGCCATTTGAAACATTTTCAAACCCATCTATTTGGATGGCTGATAGCACCTCCCTCGTTTGATCTTCACCTCTTCTATGTCATCAAATCGCTGTCCTTTCATATCCCTCTGCATTCACAGAAACAAAAAGAAGTCACATAGAGTGAGGTCAGGTGAGTAAGTTGCATGGGACAAGAAAGGCATGCTGTTTCTTTGCCCAAAACTGGAGCACTAAGATGGCTGTGTGAGCAGGTGCATTGTCATGGTGGCAAAAACTAGCCCCCCATCTGCCACAAATCAGGCCTTTTTTTGGGTCACACACTGTTATGCAATATTCTTATAACCTCTAAATAGAAAGCTTGATTAACACTCTGGCCTGGTGGAATGAACTCCAAATGCACTACGAGTCTACATATTCATCTGCTCAGGACGTTGACGATGTTCAGAATGAGGTTTGTCATCGATCGACATTTCACCTTATTTGAAATGGGAAACAAGTCATCCACTTGAGTTCTCCCCCTAGCGTTGTCCTTGTAAGCTGTGTTCAACATCACAACAGTTTCTGTGGCATTTTTCCTGAGCAGGAAACAAAATTTCACAGCTGCACGCTGTGCTCTTAAATCAGCCATTGCAAAAACAAGGTTCACGCAAAACTGCTTTCGCAAAAAAATTCACTTTATGTGTGAGAGAACCTTCCCAGGCAATGTCAGTGGGTGCCCTAACTCAAAGCAAGTTGCTTGATGCTCACTCGCCTAGCAGGGCTTTTATCTGGTGTTTTTTTTTTTGGGGGGGCTGTACCCCTTCATATACATAATCAAAAGAATAGCTGTGTCAGCCTTGGCCCAGTGACACGAATGACATTCATTGTGCTGTACAACCACCCCACGATCGGTTTCCCATCACCTGGAACAGAAGCTCAGTGCCCTCAGCAATGTCTCCCTCTTTTCTCCCTCCCACTCCTCTCTCACCACCTACTGCAGACAGGCAGCCTCAGGTGGACCAGGGTCCTAAGTGACCTCAGGGGAGCGGGTATTCAGTGACTCCTCTTGGGCTCGATGGCCCCAACCTGTGAGGATGACGGAGCATGCAGAGCCCGGGCACCGGCCCATATGGTTCATTCATTCTGTACACTTGTAGTGAGTGTCTTTTCTGTGCCGGGCGTGCCCTGTGCAGGCACAGGAGTGGCAGTGGTGGATGGAACACCTCAGCCCTGCCCTTACGACATTTACACTCTAGTGAGGCAGAGGCACCACAGACAAGCGAGGAGGAGCGCGCTAGGGTGGAGGTGTCATTTGTGCCTACTGGGTTCTGACTCAGGGCCACCCCGTGTGTACAAAGTCCGCTTGCTCCCTCGGGCACCCTAGGCTGTGGTCTTTCTGAAGCAGACCACCAACACGGTCTCCAAGGTGCCCCTCGGTGAGTGGGTGCTGACCACCAACCCTTATGCTTGAGGTCAAGTGCTTAAGTGTTTGCATCACCGGGGGGTTTCTAGTATGCTGGCGGGTGTCTATGCCGTAGCGTCAACCCTATCTAGAACAGTAGAGCTGCCCCTGGCCTGTAAGTCCCACAGAGGCTAACTGCTACGTCTTTCTCCGGCAGAGCAGCTGGTAGGTCCCAAGCACCCACTTTCTGCTAGCAGCTAAGCATTTAACCGCTGCGCCACCAGGGATCCCTTCTAAGGTTGGTTTCTAATGCTGGCGAAGAGCTCAGGGGGCACTGGGGCCTGTGGGTGCCAGTCTTATTAGAGTGATCACAGAAGACCGCAGTGCCTTATAGGTGGGGCTTCTCTGCCCGAGCCCTGAAGGAAGCAAGAAAACAAGTCAGCTGGATCTCGGGAGGGGGGTGGGGGTGGGGGCAGAGGAACCAGCCATCGTAGTGCCCGAGGATGGAACAAGCTGTCCTTATGAGGAATGTCCAGCAGGCTGGCATTTCTATCGCACCTAAAACAGTCGGATGACTGGAAATGTGGTGCTGGGGTGGCAACCCCATTGTGTTATCCAGGACCCTGACACCATCTGCCTTCTGTCCTTGGCACACGGTTTTGGTCCTCTTGGCCACCTCTGGGTCCAAAATGGCCGCTGAAGCTCCAGCCAGTCCACCGAAGTTATAGGCTTGCAAAAAGAGAACGCCAAGAAGTGGGGGGTCACCTAAGGACTGAAAGGGCAGGGGGCGCTCTCCAAACCACGCTGGGTCCCTTGGTACAGCCTTCCCAGGAGCGCCATGCCACTCTGCTGTCTGTTTCACCATGTGAGATTTCACTGGCAAGAACAAGGCCACACCTCCCTGCAAGGGAAGCCGGGAATGCAGTGTGTGGTTTAGCTGCCGAACACTTGGCTCCCCTAGTAAAATCCAGAGTTTAGTTGCTGAAGAAGAGGGCGGAGCGCCTGGAAGGGCACAGTGGTCTACCCCCACCACCACCCCCCACCCCCCGACCTCATGGCCTCAAGTTGCATCCTGGGGCCATGTCTTTCAGTGCTTCCCTGATTTCATTGTTAACCTCATGTAAACTCAAGACATCCCAGGGTCTCCTGGACCCCCGTCTAGATCAGATCCTTTCCATGTGGAAGATCAAAGCTTCCGCCAGGGGCTTGTATCCCTGACTCAGAGGAAATCCTGCTTCTCTAGTTGGTGTTTTGAAATGGCTCCTTTAGCTTCAGCCTGGCCTCGGCCTACCTGAGTCTTCTTACCCTGAAGTCCTCAAATAAGCATGGCCGCAAGGCTCTTGCCTGCTGCACAGCTCTTGCTCAGAGGGTCCCTGGCGCATGAGCACGGGCCTCTTCATGTCCATCCATTGGCCTGGCTGGCACCAGAGATTGCCATTGTTGATGGTTAGGATCATACTCTTAAATCCCCTCGCTGTGCATTTAATACACTGAAAGGGGGTGGTGATCTGGGGGAACCTGCTGGCCCCAGGGCTGGCATCTGAAATGCATACAGGTCAGGCAGAGCCAGGAAAGCTCCAGTCCTGGGATCAGGCCAGAAAGCAACAGAGATGGATAGAGCCGCAGCTGCTGGCGAGCCGACCCCTTATGGCCGACAGAATGAGACGTTGCCTGGTCCTGCCTGCCATCCTCACACTGGCTTCATGTCCGGGTCCATTATGTGGCTGGTGTGCCAACCAGCGCTTCGAGGGGCTTCCTTGCCCTCCCTGGCCCCCGATTTCCTCCAACGAGATGTCCAACTCAGGTGATTTTGGTTTTTTAAAAATTTTTTATCATGAATTTTGAAAACTCTTTTGTGAATTAGGTGAGGGTTTACAGAGTAGAGCGTCAGTCTTGCATTCCACAATCCATGCAATTTTGTTTCAACCCCTGCCCTGCCGTCGCCTCCAGGTACCAGCTCCACGTCCTCCCTGCACTTCCCGCCCATCCCACCTCCTTTCCGAACCCTCTGACCTTTGACCTCGGGTAAATGCTGCACTGCCTTGTTGATCCCCTCTGTTGGCATCTCTAACGTAAGTCAGATGATCTATTGTGCGTCCTGTGGCAATTGGGGGAGAAATAGATCACTAGGCCTTTTGCCCTAGTCTGTCTTAGTCTAGACGCTTCACTGAAACCTGTCCACCTCTGCTGTGCCTGCTGATACTTGAAGCACCAGCAGCAGAGCTTCCAGCAGCACGCACGCCACTACCACGTGACAGACTGAAGGACAGGCGGTGGAGGAAAGCAGGCACGGATGTTAAGGTAGGGCCCCGGCCAAGCTTCACGCAGGACTTGTCCTGAAGCCCTTAGCCACAGGAGCTGATTTGTTTCAGAGTTTGGGCTTCAGAGATACCTGTTGCCAGCCCAGATGATGCAGGAGTCTAGGGGTCTTTATGATAGTGATATGAAATAGAGAAAAACGACTTCCATGGCTAGTTGTTCTTCTAACAATGGCATCTTAAGCACTAGAGGGATTTTGACAAGGTGGTTGGAGCTGATAGATGTGGCCATGAGCATCTCAAGGCAGGTTAGCCAAACGCTGCCACTTTATCTTCTGCTTCCTTTCTTTCCTGCTTTTATCCAGCGTAACCATTGCCCGTTTATGGACATAACTGGACTAGGACGTGTTGGGAAACAGAATCTAGTGCACACTCCTGCATCAAGAGGAGCAAGACCTGAAGTGTTCCTGGCACAGATGGGCACTGCAGGGTAGCAGTGGGTGCCCAATGTCCTGGGGCAGGCAGGGGCAGGCAGAGGCACAGGGGAAGAGCTATTGGCCTTCCCTGCTGCAGAGGACAGTGAGGAAGGAGGAGCTTCACTGCCTCCAACAGGGAACATCCTCCTGAGCCCTCTCTCACACCGGTTGGCTTACCACTGTAGTCCCTGTTGCACAGGTAGACCCATGCCTCTGAACAACTCCAGAAAAATGGATGCCGCACAACTGCTTTCCAAATGAGGAGCCTGTTTCCTGTGCCTTCCCACCTCTGTCTTCCTTGTCAACAGTAGCTTCAGGGCTGAGGGAGTGCTTCTCACCACTGTCCTACCCCCCACCCCCCACCCCAAGACCCAAAGAGATGCAAAGAAGCTACTTACTTCCCGGAGATAGACTAAGTTTGGATGCTGGCTTACAGAGCCTGGGTGGGTTTTCTGCTCTTAGAGACTAAATAGGACCAGGGCCAATCTGAGTTCAAGAATCTACTGGTTGCACTCCTAGAAGCTGAAGCAACAGGTCCTTTCTTGAAGGGGGATCTGCGTGCTCTATCTGTGCCCACCTCTCCAGAGATAATGGGGTCCATGGTGCCTTCTCCAGGAGAAGCTAAAG